GGGGGGGGGGAGAGGGCGGCGTCGGCGCGCACCCATCGTGGCGCGCGGCCTTCGCCCGCACGCCGGTGGACTGCCGGTACCTGCGGTACCGGCTGCCGGCCGTGGCCACGCCGCCGCCGCTGGAGGCCGACCTGCGCCTGCTGCCCGGCGCGCCCGGCACCGCGCTGTGCGTGCTGCGCTACGTCGCCTCCCCGCACCTCCCGCCGCCGGGCCTGCTGGACCTGGTCGCCGACGTGGCGCTGCCGCGCGGCGCGCGCGTGGCCCGCGCCTCGCGCCACGTCCTCGTGCGCCCCGACGCCGGCGAGGCGAGGCTGGCGCTGCCCGTCCTCGCCCCGGGCGAGGCGGGCGTGCTCAGCCTGGCGCTGGAGCTCGCGCCGGGGTCTGCGGAGGCCCTGGCCCCGCCCGCCGCCAGTCTCACCTTCACCGGGCCGCCGGGGGGCACACTGTCCGGCACCCGCCTCCTCGTGGGGCTGGAGCGGACTGAGGAGCGCGCCGGCGCCCCGGGCAAGTGCTTCTTCTTCGGCAAGCTGGAGGTGCGGCCGTGAGGGCCCCAGCGTGGCGTGGATCTCGAGCAGTGCATGTCGAAGCGCTGCGGTGAGTCGTCCCGTGATGTAAGCTGGGTCACTGGCACACAGCGGATCCAGAGGCGGGGGATACTGCCAGTGGGACCAAGGGTCCGACGTGAGAGCGCGTATTCCCGCGCGCTGCATGGGGGGGGTCCATGGCGTGTGGCTCTCGCAAGCATCCTCCTAGGACGACAGAGAATGACCCAAACCCACGCCTACCGCTTTGACGTCCTGTCACACATCGACACCAGCTCCCCTCTGCTGTTCTCCTAAGTACTCGCCGGCCGCAATGGGTCGCTCGCTGCGACGACACAAGGCCTCCCGGCCCAAAATTATCAAGAGGAAGAAGAAGAGCGTGAACAAGAAGCTGGACACCAGGAGCAAGGAGCCCGAGGAGCTGACGGCGCTGCGGCCGGACATGGAGGCCAAGCTGGGTGCCCAGTGAGTGGGCCGGGCGGGGTGCCAGGCCTGTTGCGAAGGGGCTGAGGCTAGGAGCTCGGGATGCCCGACGCTCAACCCACCTCCACAACCATGTGCAGGCCCGAGTGGGCGCACGAGTCCACCGTCGTGGCCAACTACGGGCGCCTGGGCTTCGTGGGCAACCCCAACCGGCTATTTGGCAGGAATGCTGTGCCGGTGTGCGCCCCCGAGCCCAGCTCCCACGCCCCCGGGAGCGATGCTGAGGAGGCGGTCGACGATGACGGTGAGATGTGTGGTCGAGATCGGGTATGTATTTGCTCCAGGCCTTGCTGCTGGTGCCCTGGGACGGAAGCATTGTAGGATGGCATCGTCCAACGCTCGCTGCCTTGCAGTGTGGGCACTCTCTACCCCCGTGCACCAAGATTCACCTTGACCTCAAACCCATTAGCCTCGCCCCGCCGCCCTCAACCTCCAGACCTGCGGGCTGTGTTGGGCAAGGTTCGCAGCACGGGCCCGGCCGCGCCCAAGCGCCTGACCAAGCACCAGCGCGACATCGTGGCGCGGCTGGTGGCAGCGCATGGCGACGACACCCGCGCCATGATGATGGACCTGAAGCTGAACCCCATGCAGCACAGCGAGGGCGTGCTGCAGAAGCTCATCGCCTCTTACAAGCACTGGGGCCCCGGTGCGGGCGTCGAGTTCAGGGTCCCCGTCAAGAGCCTCTGGTAGGGCGGGACGGTGGTCGACGATCCTTTCTATCGCCTGAAACTCCAGGGTCACCCTCCACCCATCCCTGGGCCAGCCCCTGAGTTCCCACCACTCATCGCCAGGCACCGCAGCGTTCAGGCACCTGCCAGTCCAGGCCAATCACACCTCCGTAAATCCCTTTTCCCATCGTGTCTTGCCTTCCTGCTCCTACTTCCTGCACCTGTACACACACATTCCTTGCCAGGAGAAGCGATAGACATGTTTGGCCAGTAGCGGCATTGCGCAGCGGCCAGGTCACCAAGGCAAACAGATGGCGACCAAGGGATTTTGGGCTGTGCGACGGCACAGCTCCATCCACGGGGCTTCTACATCACACATATGGTGGTGCCGGGGGGCACTTCGCTGATCTTCACGCCCAGCGCGGTGGTGAGCGACCACTTCCTCGTCCGCCCGAAACACTCACAGCAGGCCGTTGCGTGCGGCCGCGGCCGGCGCGCCGTCGGCGCGTTGCTGCTCTGCGTCGCGCGCGGCGCGCCGCCGCCGCAACCTGCTAGCAACGTAGAAGGCCAGCTCCAGCGCCTGCTCCGCGTTCAGACGTGGGTCGCAGTGGGTGTGGTAGCGCGAGCTGAGGTCCAGCTCGGTCACCGCGGCACCGCCGCCGATGCACTCGGTGACGTCGTCGCCCGTCATCTCCAGGTGCATGCCGCCGGGCACCGTCCCTGCGGCCTCGTGCACATCGAAGAAGGCCTCCAGCTCCGCGCGCACATTTTCGAAGCGCCGCGTCTTGTACCCCTGGACCGCCTCAGTGTTGCCGTGCATGGGGTCGCAGATCCAGGTGACCACCTGCCCCGCGGCACCCACCGCGGCGAGCAGCGCGGGCAGGCGCTCGCGCAGCTTAGCCGCGCCCATGCGCACAATCACCGCCAGCCGCCCCGGCGTGTTTTCAGGGTTCAGCGCGGCGATGAGGGCTACGAGGTCTGCGGGGTCGGCCTTGTCGCTCACCTTGACGCCCAACGGGTTGCCCACGCCCCGCAGGTACTCCACGTGCGCGCCGTCCAGCTGGCGCGTGCGCTCGCCGCACCACAGGAAGTGTCCTGAGCAGCCGTACCAGAGGCCCGTGGTGGAGTCCTCGCGCGTCAGCGCGGCCTCGTAGTCCAGCAGCAGTGCCTCGTGCGAGACGTAGAAGTCGGTCTCGCGCATGATGGCGGAGTGCATGTCCAGGCCGCAGGCGCGCATGAAGGTGATGGACTCCTCGATGCGCGACGCCAGGTCGCGGTAGGCGCGCCCCTCCTCGCTCCCGCGCGTGAAGTCCAGATTCCACTGCATCACGCGGTCCAGCGCCGCGTAGCCGCCCGTGGCGAAGCCGCGCAGCAGGTTCAGCGTCGCCGCCGACTGGTTGTACCCGCGCACGAGGCGGGCCGGGTTGGGAACGCGCGCCTCGGGGGTGAACTCGGGGCCGTTGATGATGTCGCCGCGGTAGCTGGGCAGCGACTGCCCGTCCACCGTCTCCAGGTCGGCGGAGCGGGGCTTGGCAAACTGCCCCGCCAGCCGCCCGATCTTGACCACGGGCACGCCGCCGCCGTACATGAGCACCACCGACATCTGGAGCAGGAGGCGGAACAGGTCGCGGATGCGGTTGGCGTTGAACTGAGAGAAGGCCTCCGCGCAGTCCCCGCCCTGCACCAGGAAGGCCTCGCCCGCCGCCGCCGCGGCCACGCGCGACTGCAGCGTGCGGCACTCGCCGGCGAAGACCAGGGGAGGGAAGGCCGCGATCTGGGCCACAGCCTCGTCCAGCTCAGCCTGGGGCAAGAAGAAGAGAGGGTGCGAGGTGTGAAGAGTGAGGGGGGGAGGCACGAACTGAAAGGAGGGAGTGCCCTAGCCAGAGGCCTCCAGGGGTTTTGGGGGGTTTTGGGGGGTGGCATGCAGGATCGACCAATCTGCACAGACACGGGACATGACGCGCCGGAAAGATGCATGCCGCAATGGATTGGCATGCTGGAAGCGCTTACTCGTGCCCCATCATGGGGTGAAATGCACTGGGGGCGAAAAGAGCCATGCTGGGGATAGACATGACGAGCTGTGGGGGGGGCCAAACAGGGGCGCAGGTGCGACGACGATCTGTGCGCCTCACATAAATCCCGACGCAGCATGGTGGACCGGATTTGCGCATGGTCGAGCGCCCTGGCATTGCCCGGGACTCGTCGCACCTGGTTGGGGTAGTTCGGCTGTTGCAGCGCCTCGCGCTGCTTCCAGCTCTGAGGTCCCCATTCCTGGAGGTGGTCCGCACTGGGCAGAAAGGGTACCGCCGAGGGGGCGGCAATGGCCCGAGGGCGCAGGGGGCCCCGAGGCGTGCGAGATACCGCCCGGGAGGTGGCAGCCGGGCACCGGAAGGGCGCCGTGCGGGCTCCCACGCCTGCGCCTCGCATGGCTACCATATTAATGTCCGAACAGAGTGTGTGAAAAGGGAGGTGTTGGGGTCTAGAGATTGGGTGGGGGAACGACGACCTTCACGTTTCTTGCAAGACCCCACGTGGGCTTGACACCCCGATTTTTCGCTCCAGGAGTCGTGCGGGATTCAAAGCAGTAAATCCCCCACGACAAATCGCCGAAACCCCCCAGACTGTTGATTCACATCTAAAAATCTCAAAGCAGTTGCAAACAATGCGTGGTGTGCCCCCGCTGTTCGAACACCCTGACGGCGCCTACACCACGGCCGACATAGTGGCTGCCAAGGCCACAGTCCTAAGTACCCTCTATAAAAGGCGCGTGACGCAGGCAACCATTCCCACGGAGCGCGTGGATGACTTTCTGCGCGGCGAGGGCCGCATTTTCAGGACGTCCTTCCATCGGAAAGCCCACGCTGCTATCCAGCTTCCGAAATCACCTCCATCGGGTGGCCTCATGTGATGAGCATGCAGCCGATCCCCTTCCGCTGCACTCAGTACCAGCTCTTCAACACACGCACAGGACTGGTTGTTAGTCGAGTACTACAGGTGCGCCCGTGGTCCTATGAAGCCCAAGTGGCTGACGAGAAGGGCGTCGCCAGTCAGCGCGAGGGGCGGACGAGCCTGTCGCGCCGCCGCTCTGAGAGGACCGGCTGCCAGCATACATTCACAGTCAAGCAGCTGAGGCAAGACTCCAAGAAGAGCATTGTCTTCTACCCCGACATTGGGCATTCGAGCCACAGTGACGCCACTTTCCACTGTCTGCGCCTGTCCCAGTGGGCTGTTGACCTCGTGGAGTCTCTGCTGGCCACCAACCCGGCCTTTCGCAACCCCAGCATCGTTGCCTCAGTGCGAGAAGCTGCGCTGCGCAAGGCAGGGATAAGTTCGGCCGTCTACATCAGTGTGGCCAACCACTTGGCCTTCCAGCAACACCTCCCAAATCTCCACCAAAGGGATTGCTCGATCACCAACAAGGAGATCGCGTGAGCTGCAAGGCAGGGTCGCTCGGTGCCAATCACCTGCACCTTGGTGGCAATCACCTGCACTTCCATGAACCACAGTGATGCGATTTGTATGCGCTCTCCATTGCAGGAACATTCGCCGGTCCAAGAAGTCCAATCCATGGATGCTGGACCCAGACGCAGCCACAAGCCTGATGAAGTCGGTCCAGGCTCGGCATTCAGACTTTGCCGTCGTCGAGCATGTCAATGAGGGACTGATTGAACTTATCGAGCTCAACGATAATCACCAGCGTGCCCTGCGCGACTATGCGCATGGCCGCCCTGTGTGGATCGACAGCACGCATGGCACCAACGACCTGAGCGTGAGAAACCAGTGGGATTGGTAGCCACGCCTGCTGTCGATCCAAACAGGGCGGCCATGCGCATTGTCGCGCAGGACACGCTGGTGATTATCATTGAACTCGACGAGTTGTGTCACCCCCATGTCAGCGTTTTTCAAGATGGGAAAAGTCTGAAGGCCAAGCCTGGACCATCATCATCAGGCTCGTGGCTGCATTTTGGTGCAGCATCCACAGGTTTGACTTCTTGGCCCGGCGAATGTTCCTGCAACAGGCGGCACAGAGGACGGGACCATCTGCAAGTGTGGAAGTGCAGATTGTTGGCCCTGAGTGACTGCAACGAGCAACGTACGCGACGTCTTGCGTGGAGATCATGAAGTCCCGAAAGAATTCCGGGAACTCCTTGAGGAAGGTCCTGTCGTCCAATAAGGTGGTGTACAGCGCCGAGTCTATCCCGGCTTGACGCATCGCAGCCGCTTGGACTGCTCCACAAATCTCGGTGTTGGAGAAGGCGGCGTTGGTCTCCAGCAAACTCTCCACAAGAGCACTCGCCCAGCACAACAAACGAGGACACTGCAGGGTGTCATTGTCGTGGCTGGAGTACGGGATGGTGTGGTGGAAGATGAGGGACTTCCCTGGCTCCCGCTTCAGCTGCTTGATGAAGAAGTGGTGCTCGCAGCTGGTCTTGTGAGAGCTGCGGCGAGTTCAGCTGCCCTTCCCCTTGCGCTGGCTGGCGCCGTCCTTCTCCACCCACTCAGGTTTTTCCGGACCTTGGGCGCACGTGTATTTCTTAATGGAAACCCAGTCCTGTGTGTGTCAACGAGCTCGAGTGATTGCGAGGAGGAGTAGCCGACTTGGAGAGGTCTCACAGTGGGCATCCGCTGGATGACATTTCAAGTGAGAACCTTGGTGGCAGGACGGGTGGTGTGGTTGAATGATGTCCTGAAGCTGCGCCCTGTGGCCTCGCAGGAAGTCCTCCACGCGCTCCGTGGGGATTGCGACTGGAGGTGTTGGGGCTGCATGGTAGGTATCCTGCTTTGGAGCCCCCCACGGCCACCAACTTGGCAGAGGCGAACACGCCCTGTGGGGTCCGGTTGTCTCGAGCACGTTCGGCATCGACCGCGAGCGAAAAATGGTAAGAGTTTGATGCAAAGAGGCTGTCGCCAGTTGTTGTGAGGATCTCTTCGGGGATTTCGTAACTTCATTTCGAATGGAAACGGTGGCCCTTGTCGAACATGTAGGCATGCTTTCGCCATTACAATAATCTCAGCCCAGCACATTGCCCAGCAGAAGTTTCCTGTGCCGCCTATGCAAAAACTGACGTTGCCTGTACTCATCATGCCTAGTTCCTGATGTCAAGTTTAGATCAGCAGCGTCAGTTCGCGGAAGGTCTCGAGGTGGGTCACAGTGTCGGCCCGCCAATCGCCTTGCTGTCACTGCATCCTTCAATGAACTTGATGCACTCAACCCCATCACACCGTACAGGACTACCTGGAGTTGCATCGGGCGTATGTGCAAGTCCTGGAGGACCTCGCGCGGTCCCTGCAGCAGATTGAGCCGGCTACACCTGCCAAGAGGACTTCCAGCAAGGCCCTGCACCGAGTCCTGGCCAAGGCGCGTGCTGAGACGGTACGACCCTGCACAATTCAGGATTCTGAAAAGATCAAGCCCTCACCAGGAGCATGCTACTCCTCCCTCCCATCCTTGGCAGGTGCCCTCCCACGAGCTCGAGAGCTTTATCCAGGGCAAAGAAGTGAGAGGCCCCCAACCCTTGCCGCACCTGGCCGACAGGATCGAGGACGAGCTGCATGTCCTCGAGGATTTGCAATCCCAAATAGCCAATCGTTTCGGAGCCCTGGACGGCCAATGCCAGGTCACACAGCCTGTGTGGGTGTAGCCCTGATCATCAATGCCTCATGCCCCACACTGGCATTGACACTGTGCACACAGCAAACTGCATGCCTCCTTCTCTCCACTCTTTCTGCAGGCTTGGTGGGACGATGCCGAGGTCATTCGCAGGCTGGTTTCTGAACCCATGTCCGAGGGCGACGGCCTGGATAGTACAGTGCCAGCCCTGTTGCAGCAGGATGCCCTGCTCATGACCGAGATGCTGGACCGCTGCAGTCGGGAGACGGAGCTGGTGGTAAGAGGCTGCCCGGTATTCAGTTGTGTCTCTACGCAGAGCCTCTTGCTGCTGAACGTTATTCCTGTCTGCACCTTTGGAAGAATAAAGCTGCTGGTTCTATTCCTGCCACAACCCCACATGACCTTCATCATCGCCCAACTGCCCCCCAGATGCGAATCCAGGCGACGGTGAGCCTGGAGAGCGACCCAGCCACCCTGAGCGCCCAGGCCTCCATTCTGGGCCTGGAGCCGTACCTGGATGCAGGGGCACTCCAGACAGTGGCGTCGTGGCTGGAAGCCAGGGATGATGCTAGTCCACCCACGGCTTAGAGCAAGGAGGGCTAGCTGCGTCCTCGTGACCATTGGACTTGTGAACGAGTACTGACTATGACTTGCAGGGCCACCTTCAACAAACCTACTGCCCTTTTGAAAGAGCCAGACGACACCTCTGCCTTGTCTGGGCCTACCTCTCGTGCACTTGTCGCCCACACTGTGCCCCTCCTCTGACAAACCCAAGCTCTCCTCTCACACGCAAGGGTGTGGTGTTCAATGCTGCTACACCGTACAATATGACCTAAAGCAAATGGCAAGGCAGACGGTGTGACGGCGGTGGGGCAAAGCGACAAGGGTCGATGAGCCAAGGAGGGGGGAGGGTCCCATCGCCGAGCGCCGCCTGCTCTTTCCACCAGCAGCAGGCGGACGCTTGGGCCCCATCTACACCCATCTGAAACGAATACTAGGCGGTGGTGTGGCGCCACCCAGGCTGTACTTCCCTGGGAGCGGCTCCCGCGCAAGTCCACACCCTGCAAGCTGCAAGCGGCGTGCAGGCGGCGGCATCGAGCCAGGGAAGGGGGATGCGGTGGATGCAAAAGGACTCAAGTACACTTTGGCGTCAGTACATCAAGTTTGGCGTGGGGCGAGCGGGTCCGCGTGGGACCGAGGCTGTGAGCGAGGTGAGGGGGAGGGGCAGCGAGCGAGCGGGAAGGGGGGAGGCGGCTCCCAGCGCAGCGGCCGGCATCAGGCCTTCTGGTCGGCAAACTTGACGACGAGCTTCTTGTTGGCGCCCACCGGCCGGCCGTTGAAGGCCGACACGGCGGTGGCGGCCTGAGCCTGGGAGGCGTAGGTCAGGAAGGCGCAGCCCTTGGATCGGCCCTGGGAGCGCAGAATGGCCAGCTCCAGGATGTCGCCCACGGGTGAGAAGATGGCCCATAGGTCCTGCTCCGTGGCCTGGGCATGGTTGGTGAAAGGGAGGGGTACATGAGAACAGGGGAGTCACATGACAGCCATGCATGGTCCTGAGGGCTGAGGGAGGAGCAGTGTCCAGGCAATGCATCGAGGGGCTATGCAGTATCACTGCACATCCATGCCACAGGCCGGTACAAACGCTACGCGAGGGTGGGGGCATCATGCACGACCTCTAAGTCACGATGAGTGTGCCTGGTAGCGTACCGCAGCCCGCACAAACTTCCCCATGCGCATGATCCGGCTTGCAGCGCGCATGCACCCCGCCCCACCTCAAAGGGGATCTGGCCGATGAACAGCTTGTGTGCATAGGCCGCCGGGTCGGCGACGCCGCGGCCCAGCTTGATGGGGCGCAGCTGCGGGGGTGGGCCGCCCACCATCATGCCGCTGAATTGCTGCAGTGCCAGGTGGTCGTACCCGCCAAGGACGCCCATGCCTGCAGGGGGTTGGGGCCCAGGTGGCGAGGCGGCTCGGTGCGAGGGCATGGGCGCCTGGGAGACCTGGCCCAGGAAAGGGCTCGCGGCAGCAGGCATGGCAGGACACTGAGCCAAGGCCGTCTGCCAGAGTGTTCCCCCATGTAGTACAGGCAGAGGCCACCCAACACAGGTGCTTGCCCCCTCGGTTGGCCCCCTTCATCCCCTGATTCCGCCCCCCACGTTGCCCGCACCCGACAGGCCGAGCCCTGACTGCATGGCCTGGAGGCTGATGAGGGAGCTGGAGGAGTGCATGCTGTGCATGCTGCCGGGGGCGGGGGGCACCTGCTGATGCTGCGCGGCGTGCGGCGGGTGCAGGCCCAGGTGCCCGGGCCCCACGCCGTGGTCAAGCGGGGGCAGGCCCGCGGAGTCCCCCGCCTCCAGCAGCGACTCGGAGGAGGAGCCGTCCAGGGCGCCGAGCTTGGGCCCGGGGGCGGTGTGCAGGTGGCCCAGGTTGACGCCACCGCCCACCTGGAAGAGCCCCGGCATGCCGCCCAGGCCCGGGAAACCGTTGGGGGGGGGGGTGCATGAGTCGGGGGGTGGGCGTCGGGTGGCACCCGGAGGCCGGTCCTCCTGACTGGGCTCCCAGCCCCACACGCGGCTGATCACCATGGCCCCGCAGCGTCCCCGACGCACAACCTCCCTCTGGCCCACAGGAGGGGCGCTGCCGTCGCCTGTCCCCAGTCCCCCATCGGCCCACACCTCCCTCCCCCACCCGGGCTCACCCTGCATTCCCCCCAACTGCGGCGGCAGGGGCGGGCCCATGCCCAGCTCCGCGCCGGTGATGTATGAGTGGTTGGCCAGCATGCCCGGGTGGCCCAGCATGCCCAGCAGGTTCAGGCCCTGGGCCCGGGCCTTGCCCGCCAGGCCGTCCAGGCGCTTGGCGTCGGCAAACTTGACCACCAGCGCGTGCTCGCAGCCGGGCATGACGCGCTGCTCGTGCAGGCCCTCGATGGCGGCCTCGCAGGCAGCCCAGGTGGCGAGCTGCACGAAGGCGCACCCCGCGTGGATGCCCTTGGACTTGAGGATGCTGACGCCCTGCACCTCACCGTAGGGCGCAAACACCGCGGCCACCTCCGCCTCGCTGGCGGTCTTGGGGATCTGGCCCACGAAGAGCTTGCGCGGCGTGATGGCCGGCTCTGCGGCCGCCGACCCCACCAGCCGCCGTGGGTTGGCAAAGTGCACGACCAGCGGGCGGCCGCGCCCGCCCACCAGCGGGCTCGTGCCGTTGACGCCCGCCGCGGCGCGCTCCGCGTCCGCCCAGCGCTTGTACTGCACCATGGCGCAGCCGCGCGACTTGCCCTCGGGCCCGCGCACCAAAGTCAGCTTCTCGATGGCGCCGTAGGGGGCGAAGACGGGGAGCAGGTCCGGCTCCTGGCGGTCCGTCGGGATCTGGCCGACGAATCTGGGGGAGGGGGGTTGGGGGTG